CGCTTTTGCGACGTTGAAGTGCGATATGATAAGCGTCCTTGACGCCCCTTTACGGCGGCGCACAGAGGATCGATTCGATCGGAGAAGTCGGACCAAGTATGGAAACTTAAGAAGCTCGTTTCGACGAAGAAACTCTCAAACCACGTTCTCGGTTTGCGATGTTGCAGAATTCTTGTCACACTTAAAGTTTTTTCATCAAAAACGAAACGACTTAACGCCAATGCTTGAAAAATTCCATGATTCATCTTCTCTGTGCGAGAAAAATTCTGAGAAAACTGCAAGGAACTACGTCGATTACATCGATTTGGACTGCATTTTGCAATTTGGAGCTGTAATTTCTGACTCGGTTCAGAAACAACGTACATAGCATTAGTTTCCCTATGCACATGAGAGTTCTTACAAATGAACCAGAAATTGTAGTTCTGAATTTCAGAATGTAGTCCATCGGTTTTCCTCCAAAAAAAAGGAAGAAAATAAGGAAATTTTAGAACACCACGAATGAAATAGGTAGTTTGGGAGTCTCACCGACGATATCTATGTTCATATAGAACATAGAGGTTTGAAAACTGGTTTACTTCTTATTTATTTACTTTTCATTTATTTATTTATTTTTTATTTATTTTTTTTAAAAAAAAAAATTCCTGTCGAGAACCAATCCTTAAAATTTAAAAAGTGACAAAATAAACATCTTTCATTTACAGTTTTAGTAAAAATATTTTCGTCCGATCGCTTTGAAACGCTCGTTGCACTGTGCGAAGCGGCGCGTCGAGTAATACTGGCCAAATAGTAAAAATAAAGCGTCGCGAATTTTCTATTCTGAATTATCATAAGTTCTAAAGCTAAGACCTCCCCCTTTCCCCTGCCCACCAACATGAAGACAACTTTAGGAAATTATGCTGATTTCTATGTTATAATATGGAACGGTTTCGAAGGAAAAAACTGGTGAAACGATAGGAATCGGGTTGAATCGCTATCGAATGAAACTGATCGATAAATATCATTGCGAAGATAGGGATTTATCGATCCAGTCCATTCGATATCGAATCAGTAATCGACCCGCTGTTCAAGTTTTCATCCGGGCTCATGCGACTTATCACAGCCAAGCGACGATAACGCATGGTAAACAAAAAGCTACCTGCTCCCTCGCTAAGGAAGAACACCGTAAGAGGATTTGATTGTTGGAAAACTTCCTTTGATAAAATACTAATTTTGAGAGCGGTTGAGGAAGTTTTCCCTGGAAATTTCCTCATGTGCTGACAAAGTTAGAAAGTCAAAATCTCGAAATGACTTGCAGAAAAACGTGCACGATTTTTCTGGGAACCTCGTATTTTGTCGGACGAAATGTAGGTAATAAGGTCACGCGTCTTCTTCTTCTTTTTTCTTTTGCTTTCGGTTTTCATAAAATTTTGATAAATTAAAGAAGCAGAAAGTAAGAACGTCAATAAGTTTATTCGGCGCCCTTCCTCAGCCGGACAAGAGAATGAATTTTGTTCGCAATACGCGAGAGAATTTCAGGACTCACAAAAAAATTTGGCTTCAACAGCGCAGCCCAGGACAGAACAGACAGTCTGAATTCTTCCTGGGAAAAAATGTTTACCCCCCCCCCCCCCCCCCCGTTTCGTCATTGAATGACGATTGTCATTTGCATTGCATCCTAAAACGTTGCAACAATGTAGAAAAATCAATTATGTTCTACAATTGAGTACCGTAAGCGGTTCAGCAAATAAACGAAAAAGTCTCATGAGGGGCCGTTCATGAAATACTTGACGCTGAAAACCCCCCCAGGTAACATAAACCTGGACCCCGATCCCTTCCAAGATTTTCGTAACTCTCTGTATTGACCCTGTTACTCGAACTGGCGTTTCCTTCAGATCAATTCAGGCTGGGAAATTGCGATTTAGCGTCAGATTATCATAATAAATTTTCGAAAAATGAGCGCTTCGAGCCGATTTCAGCGTTTCAATGTAGCTATTAAGTCTAGAGAAAAAGTTATTTCCAGATTTTGCCTGATTTCAAGAAAAAGTTTCCTGCCGAAAACCCGGGAATTCCTCTCATATTCTGCTTGATTCGCTAGGAGAAAACACGAATTTTTTGAAAAATTCAACTTTTTCTCGTTTAGTCTGATTCTCAAAGGGCGAAGTAAAAATAGACCAGTAATTTCGCAAATAATTTAATCTCGGAGCAGAGAGGGGAGAAATTCCCAGTGTTAAGTACCCATTCCCTAATAATTCGTTTCAGATACAATATATGAGGGGCTTGGAGGACAAGGTGCGTAAGTGCAGTTTTTGCTATTTTGAGAAATAATACAAGTTTAAAGTTTCGAAATACTATGGAAACTTTATGGCGGAAAGAAAATTCAAATTGAATTTTTGATGGTTAAGAATTGGAATTTTGAAGCGAATTTTTCACAGAATGTACATGCAGACTAGAATTACTTGAATCATTAAGTAATGACTCAATTTTTTTCTAAAACTGCACTTATGCTCCTTGTCTTCCAAGCCCCTCGTTATAAGCTATCAGTTTTCCTATACAGATGTGTGTTTTTACAGATGAGCAAGAAAAGAAGAAGGAACCAAGTCACATTAAGTTAGAACAGAGAAAGAGAAATCGAAAGTATTTTCCTTCCATAGCTGGCACTAAAAAAAAATTAAATTTGAGTCTACATTTGGGAAAAAACTTAAAAGCCATTAGTTTCCCTATACAGATAAGTGTTACTTTTTATGGATACACTAGATATGGTAGTTCCTTCTTGCATTATGTAGTCTTTTTACTACACTGCTACACTGATTACTTACTGCAAATTATTTGATGGCTTTGTTTTTTTGGCAAGGGAATGTAATGTCGTTGTTAAGCTTAAAAATCTCTCTTAATTTATTATTCTTGAAAACGTGACTTGGCTCCTTTCCGATTGACTCACAATCAGTCTATTCTTCATGAACGGCCCCAGTGAAGAGACAAGTGAAAACAAGGAATTCCCAAAGGAGCAAAGATACCCTGAAAAAATATCAAGGAAATATTTACCCCTGAAGGAGCAGAAGCGAAAGCAGATGAAAGCACAGACGACAAGATAGAGAATCCAGGAGGAAAAGATCCCGACGCTCAGAGAACTCAACAGTTGAGGCCAAAGGTAGAGCCACATTCTGGGAGCGAGGCTCACAGGTCACAACCCGCGACTCACTCCCAAAACAGTTGATGACAGTGAGGCGCCTCTTAACTGTCAACAACAAGCAACATCACAGAAATATCAGGACCCCAGAAAAACGAACAAAAATAGTGCTCGCACATCTGCCGCATCGGATGTTGAGACAAACGTCAATATCTGATTAGCTCTGAATTAGCGCCACTCAACAGGTTAATACATGCAGTCAGATGGCACCACTGATGAGTGGTAACAATAACAATACTTTGACGTTTGTTTCAACATGCGATGCGCAAGCTCTATGACAAGAAGTTCTTATCAGGAGAAGAATACGTGAGATGGACACGCTTAGTAATGGACTGATTATACAGAACTAATGGAGCGGAGTTGGGATAAAAGAGCAAGCTCATCAAAGAAATGAGAATTAATACTAAAAAAAGAGGCAGAAAATGAGCAACAATCGATTGGAGCCTGCATGTGTAGGAACGAAAGGGTTTCCGCTCCCCCCCCCCCCCCCCCNCCAAGATATAATAATACTGCAATACAGAGAGTATCTCTGCTGATCCTAATCTTGACTATTAAGCACGCAATTACATGCATCGCTGCTCGATGTAGGTACCGACTTCGAACAGAGTTGCTTATTAAAGCACTACGTAAGATAATCAAACTTCATTTAGAGAGATAGAGATTCATTTACTGAAGTATTAGCAGTTGTTTTTCAATAATCTGTATGACGGTAAATCTTCAGCTTGCAATGCTTGAGTCTATAATTAGTTTCAAAGCTATTTCATGATGGACTTTTTCTTTGAGAACAGATCACACTTTCTGTTAGTCAACAATTATACAGGACAGTAAAACTCTGAACAATGTACACAATGTAATCTATCTCTGGTTTTGCGATGATAGAAACAACTGGTGTTTCTTGATATAGACGATACGGATTTCTACATCATTTTCTGAGTTGTTGACTGAAATTTATGATAAAAAGGAATTCCATTTTAGAGGTAAAAGGGACACAAAGATAATATGTACCTGAAGTTAAGATCCAATTGTAGATTACAGCCACTATCACACATGCATAGAGCTCATAATGGCTATGAATAATGAAAAAAAGGCCAAACAGAACTTAAGAAAATACTGTTTTGATGGAGTTACTCTTTCGAATTATAAAAAATTACTTACTCTGAGAATGCGAAAAAAAGAGAAGTGTTTAAAACCACCGCGATGGATCCCGCTCACGATTGGACGATGAGTATCACCAGATAGTTATACTCGATCGCGATTGGTCCATTATAATTATTTACAGTTGCAATTGAATTGATGGAAAGCACGAAAGCAGCTTAGGAATTTGAAGATGAACGAGGAGCTTTGGTCGGTCAAAATAAGCAAAATGCACGGCGCAATTACACCCGCATCACATTCGGCAGACAGAATGATGATATTGCACGAAAAGAAACAGAGAGTAAACACAAAATTTGATAAACTTACCGATAATATCAAAAACACGTATCACAATTAAAGATCACCTCGGCACTGCAACACATTATTCTCCTCCAAGTTTCCTAACATGACTAGAGTTTTGATACTAGCGTTAATACGACCGATATTATTCATCCTAATTAAAATTCAGTTAATTCGTCTCATGAATAAACAACACTATCAAGTAAGAAATTGTAACACGAACACGGCACTGACGACAACAACGATCTCCATGAAAAAATTTGACCAATTTGAGGTTAGGTAAACCTGGCGCCCGTGATTTATCATCCTTTTACGTCATACATATGTCAAAAAGTTCTCTGACATCATCAAACTTTGCCTCTCTTGCTACTCTTCCACCATGCCGGCTTCAAGCTTTGAGGTTATGTTGATGTTATTCTTCCACTGTGGCACTTTTTTCTAATCAGTCTTTTGATTCATGAGAAATTGCTTCCTTTTTTTTCCTTTGTGCATTTGTCGGCAGTAGTGTGCCACGTTTATTTATGAATTTCCCTGTGTTTAGTATAATTTGAATACCACCGTTGTGAGCCAGGAACTATTGATTCAAATGTCTGTTGATCTAAAATCAAACTGAACGCTTAAGTATTTGATAAGGATTTTCTTCTCTTGGATCACGATGAAGTCATCTATAGCTCTGTTATGCGCTCTTTACTGTCTCTATTTCTTAACTTGCTGTGATGGTCAGTCCAGAACTAAAGTGAGTATCTGTGCTACCTTTCATTATTCTGTAGGTTCTGCCCAGAAATACGGTCTGAGTGGAAAAACTATAAGTCCATGGACTGGGGAATTTCATCTTGATATTTTCACGGGAGTTTGATCACTGATATAGAAAAATAAATGTGTGATTTCCAATGTCAAAAATAAAACACAAGAAAGTTACGAACTTGCAAAGTTCTTTGATTAAGCAGATTTCGCAGTAGTCAACAAATACTCCATCTCACTCAAATGCTCCGAAACACTGAGAGAGACCCTGCCCCTCTCTCACTGCTCTCGCCTCAGTTCAGTATGACAACAAAATTTATTGACTCTTTTAAATAACCATGCCCAGAATGAAGATACAAGAAGTCATAATATTAGTAATTTGGTTGTGCGTGACAGCCTTCTTTCAGGTTGTCGCAGATATTAAGGTAAAAGCCTTAAAGTAGCTGAGTTGGCAAATAGACTCAGTTTTTCATAAATTTCTACTTTTTGCTTTTGTTATTTCAGGGGCTATCGCTTTCTGACCGGGTGGAACAGTTATCAGAGATGAGCTTCAAACGATCTGTGATCAAATTCAATCCTCAAAAGTTCAAAGACTTCGTGAAAGCCACACCTAGAAATTATTCTGTCGTCATTATGTTTACTGCTATTGCACCAGCGCGACAATGTACAATTTGTAGGTAAGAAGTTGAATGTATCTTCATACCAGCTTTCACTCACTTATACTCAATATTTTCTCCTTCAGTGTAAACTTTTAGGAGCTATACTAGCAAGTATATTTTTATATATAGACAGTGAAACGAGGAAAATTTTTATCTTAGCGCGATCTCGTAAAAACTTGCCTTTAATAATGTTTTTCCTTAAAAAACCGACCAAAATGTTTGCCTACAATTTTCAGAAAAATTTGTGTGTTCAAAGAAAAGAGTTACCTGAAACTATTTGAAGTAACAATATTTTATGAGCCCCTTAAGTTAAAGATAAAATGAGACGGAATTTTTGCAGTGCCAAAACTGTAAATTTAGGTTTTTGTTGCGTCAATATCTAATTTATTGGCCATCTTAAAAGAGCTGGAAGATTGCTTTTGAAAATTGAAGAACGAGGTTCTCACTCGCGGGTACTTGGAACACGGTTGCCAGGTTATGCCATTGAATTGAGATATTTTCGATGGGTTTGAATGGGGAATAGTGCCGGTTTTTCAGCACAACCTGGTAACAATGACTTGGAAGAATACATAGTTGGAGAAGGAAAAAGTCACCAGACTGTCATCCTTGTACCCTCACCAATTTTACTCCTTACAAAAAAGTTGGCTAGCTTTATAATGTGCATGTGCAGTATCCTGAATCCATATACCATAAATGGTATTTTTATGATATGTCCTAGTCCTTAATAAGTGCAGCAAACTTATATCTTTTAGTAAAATTGCTTTATTGCACTATTTTAGGCAGGCAAGTGAAGAGTTCACTATTGTTGCCAACTCTCATCGCTACTCAGCAGTCTATAATAAAGACCTATTCTTTGCTGTTTTGGACTTTGATGGAAGTGCAGAAGTATTTCAATGGGTAAGAATCCTACTGTATTTTTCAATTCCTTTGAATTTTAAGACATTGAATACAATAAAATACTGTGGTATCCCTCTCACTTTAGTTTTCGATTTGTACCTATCAGCCTCTAGTAGTTATTATCAGTCACAATGGAGTGCTAGCATAAATATAATTTGCTGAAAACTTTTGCGTGTACAAAGCTTAATTCATTACAAGTATTTTTACAAGGCTGTAGATTGAAAAATTTGCCAAGGGCAACGACTGTCAGCCGAATAGTCCTTGCTGTGTATAAAGAAGAACAACTTGATGATTCTGTCATCCAAGATCAAAGTTAAGACAAAACAAATTTTAACTCCTCAATTTAATGCATGAAATTTTCTTTTTATTCGCCCCTACAATATCAAGAAGGCATTAGCCAATCCTGTCTCGTGTGTCAGAAATGCTATTGAGCTAGTAGCTGCGTTGCTAAACTCTCCGGAGGATTGGGAGCGGAGAGTCTCGGAGAATTACCCGGAGGATTGACGTCATCTCTCCAGTCTCTCCGTGTTGTTGGGTCCGCCATGGTCCGCCGGATTCTGTTTTGTTTACACTTCAATTTTAGGTTAAGTTTCTATATTCCCAAAGTTAAAAATGAAATCCACAAACACTTTTATCTTTAAATGTTTGAAAATTCTAAAACTCATTGCATAAGCAGAAAAAAAGGCGCGAGAATGGTAAACGCCTATATTCTTACATCAGTCTACGTATTGGTCTCCAGCTCTTAGACCTCTCGAGGTTGGAGAGCTGGACAGCAACTTGGAGACTGACATAGCATGACGTAGCAAGTCTCCGGGTAATTCCTCCAGAGTCAGAACAACGGTTGTTTACGTCTCCGGGTAACTCCAGAGAGCTCTCCGGAGACTTTAGCAACGCAGCTATGGTTAAACAGTGCTCATTGCAAACAGTGTAATTAGGTGTCAATTTCTATCAAATCTGTTTGACTTTCTCCTTAAACCAGCACAAGAAAACTAAGATGAAATGACAAGCTTATCTCCAGACAGTCGTGGCTTAAGATTTTAATGTATTATTTTTCCCCCTATTCCTTCCAATACAGCATAACAGGCATTCCGAACAGACTGCTAACAATTGCCTCCCATAAATAAGTCCCAATTTTAAATGTTGAAATTTTTCTCTTCCCAGATGAAAATTAACACAGCACCAATGTTCATTCATTTTCCTCCAAAAGGAAAACCTAAGAACAAGGACACTCTTGATGTACAAAGAGTAGGTTTTGCAGCAGAATCAATTGCCAAGTGGATTCACGAACAAACCGACGTTCAAGTAAGTAACAATCCCACAATCACTTCTCAATTACTCTTTTACATTTTTCATATGGCCATTGAAGCCAAGTCAACAGGAACAGAACATGAATTCAACAATTGTAATTTCAAAAGCACTGGAAGAAATATTAAAGTTTCATTTATAATGAAAAAGTCCAAAATAAAAGAAACTCAATAAAGTTTAAACCAACAAGCACTTGGTCACATCTGTATGTTTTGGCCTACTTACTGTTTTCGTGGACATAATTCTCCTGTATTGCGCCACTATACATAAATCAGAGCAATATCTGCACCATATTTCAGCTGCTAAATAAGCAACTTCATTCTTTTAAAAAATATTTAAGTGTTAGTATTAACTAGGGGGCTATGCCCCCTGGCCGCTACGCGGCCCAACCCCCTGAAGGCGCTCCGCGCCATCAATGGGCCGCTTCGCGGCCCTATTTTTACCCTCCTATCAGTGTTAGTTTTATTTTTCCCCTAAAAAAATACGATATGAGGTATACTTTAATTTTAAACTTTACTTAAAATTACTTTAAAATTAAAAGGACGCGTTTTGGAATGACTGCTTGATGAAATATTGCAGTAAAACAATGAACAATGATAATCAGGTAATAAATAAGAAATCATGAGTCGGTGTTCGAACCCACACTGTGATCATAGCGGACGCAATTGACGTCTTAGACGACTCAGCCACCGCTCGACATGTAGCCGTAGATGCGAATCTTGTGTAGATAAGTGTAGAGCTGATGCGCAGGCTACCCAGCTACTGCGCAACCTCCTCGACCATTGCGCATCCTCCCGCGCATAGCGGTAGCAGTACCGGAGCATTCTATAAACTCATTCACTTTTATAACGTGATTTTAAAAAAACCTGGGTCCTTTTTCCAAAATCTGATTGCAACGGGCTCATCTAGGGCCTATTACCTGTCGATTTACGCAAAAACCATGGAAATCGGCCCGGTAGAACGCTCAAACGAACTATGACAAAAAGTATAAATTTACATTGTTTAAATGGGAGAATTCGCAACTTTACCACGTAATATAAAAAAACCTGGACCATATTTTGAAAATCCGAAAAGAGTTGGCTTATCTAGAGACAATTGCCCGTCGATAGCCGCAAAAATCATGAAAATCGGCCCGGTAGAACGCTGGAACTAAGCGTTACCAGTTTCGCAAAATTAGGAGGTCTCGGAGCTTATAGTATAGATTGCCAAAAGATGATCCTCATCAGAAAGCGAGAGTGTCCATAAAAATCTTACATTGGATACCTTGACGGTGTCTCACCGTAAGTGGAAAACTGTATGATTCTGGGGAGAATTTTTTCCCCTTGATAGGTAATTACCACAACTATGGCAACAGTGCTTTTTTACGTCATCTCTTGTAAATTTTGCAATCCAAATGTGACCTTTTTCTACTTCTTTACCCCCCTTTTTCATTACACCATGAAGAAAAAAAACTATAAGCAAAGAGACCATGTTCTAACCACCGCTGCACAAATAGTTATTACAATGTATCCAGTTTTATCTCTTGGCAGCAAGAAAGATAGATCCAACTTAAGCATCATTCCAGTTAGTTTGCTCTTTTAATTTTTTTTCCCCTTCTCACGATTTCAGTTCTTGTCTACTAAATTTTCCTTTGATCAAGGTATCTTTAATCCACTTTACGCTGTCTTATTTCAGATCAGAGTGTTCAGACCACCGAATTACTCCAACTCCGTAGCATTCTTATTAGTCCTTTGTTTACTCGGAGGATTCTTGTACCTTCGCCGCAACAATTTGGATATGTTCTATAACAAGACACTCTGGGGCGTGGCCTCTGTGGTAAATATTGAAATCTTACGTATTTTAATTCCCTGAAACAACATCAAATCAGCTGGGAAAGCAACTTTAGAAAGCCAAGTCCAGCTTTCTTAAGTTAGCTTCTTTTCCTGAATGTGCCTGGCTGATCAGATATTGTAAAAGCTTTGAAAAGCGCTCCTTCAAAAAACCTCCCACCTCTGATCGTTTTGAGACGGTGAATGGAATGCCAAAGGAGTTAAAGATACATCAGTCTCTCACACTTTAGGGTATCTTCGAAAATTTTAGGAGCTGAAAAATTCTTACTGTGATTAAATTAGAATTTTTATTTGAAGTCAAAAAACTAGCTCTTTACAGAAATTCTCCGGTGCTGTTGATGTCATTATGTTGGGGAAAAAATAAATTTAGAACGGAGCATGTACATATGGGAACTCTGCATATTTTTTTGCAGATTAAGAAGAATCACTCTCATTCTATTTATGAATTAAATGTTCTTATTGTTATTTTTGAATATTTTTGTTTTATTTCAGTTTTTCTGCTTCGCAATGGTCTCCGGACAAATGTGGAATCACATTCGCAGTCCTCCATTTGTGCACAAAACTCACCAAGGCGTCATGTATATTCATGGCTCCTCTCAAGGGCAGTTTGTCCTAGAGACGTATATCGTTATCATTTTGAGTATCCTTTAATACCTGTAATTTTATTTTTTAGTTATCACTCAAAGATATTCAAAGGTATTCTCTTTGAATTTTTGAAGGAATACCTATGACTTTTTAATTTTTGGCAATGATACCAGTGATGAAAGAAAGGACAAGCAACAGAAGGGAGAAAAAAAGAAAGCAGTAGAGGATCAAGCAAGAAATGATTGGAAGGAAAAGAAGGGTTGAGCCATACAAATCAACCACCACCTTGTCTATCATGCCTGAATGGTACAAAATAATTTTATGGTTAAAATGTAACAGCCTTCTTTGTCAATTAAGTGTCTTGATTTTGAAGTTTGAATTGCATTTCTAGTCATTTTTTTACTAAAATGCTGCAGCACGGTGCCTCGCTGCTGATACCTCCTCTTCCCTAATATTCTCTGTCATGCTGTGCTGCGGAATAAGTACTCTACAGCCTTGTTAAGTAAGTCTCAAATCAGTTTGCCAGCCTTTTGGGTGCAATAAATCTTTACTTATGCTTTTGCAAGGTGGAGAAATGGTGCTGGGTCCACACCATTTTGCAGGAAAAACAAAGCCAAGAAATTCCAAAAATTTTTCAATTTAAGTCAAAAAATGTTGTGTTTATAACTTTCACCATCGTTACTCAACTCGAAGCACATTTTTTGCCACATAATAAGAAATTACTGTGTTGCAAATCTGCGATCACTCTATTCAGAGATACAACTGTGCATTCTTGATTCCTGCATGTGGTTCAATTTTCCTTAATAAGTCCTTTCAGATGCCGCAATTGTCGTTGGAATGATCATGATGATTGATGCAGCATCAAAAAAAGGAGAAGTGAGAGTACGTCGAATCATGGCCATTCTTGGACTCGTTTTTGTTGCTATTGATTTTAGCGTTATTCTGTCCATATTCAGATCAAAAGCTCATGGATATCCTTACAGGTATGCCTCCCATTTTATCAAAGTTATGTTAGGCTGAGTCTTGTCAAATAAATTTACGTCCCTTGAGAGTGAGACGGAAGATATGTTATCTTCATTTAAGTATTGAAAGTAGATAAAAATTTATGATTGCAGGTTTTTTGTCTCTCTCTAATAGTGGGTAAACTTATTTGGTTTGGCCTCTGGTCAAAGACATTGAATCACGTAGACCGTGCATCCTGCTCGGTTTAGTACAGGCAGAGCAAGACAAGTTGCTCGGAGCCCCATGATGGGCGGGTGGAGAGGGGAGAGAGCAAATGTCCCAAGCACTCGAAGAGACTGCCGAGAGGCAATGAAGAATTCATTCGCGCGCTCGGTTTTTCACGAATATCTCGTTTAGAGTCCATTTTCAGAAAAAATTCCAAAGAAAAGTCTTAGAACATATAATTTTACAACCAAATAGCATTGTTTCATTTTTCTGAACTAATTATTAACCGAGAAAAAAAGCCTCACAATCCGACAAAAATTCACTTGAGCCGCATGCGCAGATGTGTTCAATTGGGGCACACGAACTTATCGATGGGGGTCAATGGGGGCCTCCACTCATCGGCATGCAAATTTTTAAAAGTTGTCTCGCCTTCCGTAACACAGGATGCGGACGTTATGGTCCGTTTTTCATACTTCGAATTTCGGATTTTGCCGGAATACTGATGCCATATTGTACCAACCTACGTCACGGGGTAAACAATCCTCAAGATGCGACCACCTCCTTTTTTTTCGCTATAAACCCAGTTGAGGGCTAAGGAGGTGCAGAACTGATAAGTACCCTTTTTATCTCTTTTTAAGAGCTGCATAAATCATTTTTGAAACCAAGTAAAATATTAATCAGATCTTTAAAAAGGTTCCTGAACCTCAGACCCTGCTTTTTTGGACCCTCTGAACTGCCTAAATTTGCACAAAAAAGGCTTTGAATTTCTGCATCAAATTTTAAGATCAAACAGAACCCAAATCAAACACTTACCTAGCTTTAACCTTTTCAACTTTCCCTTCAACAAAATGATAACTCACCCTTCAGTCAAGAACTCAAAAGAAGTCCTTGACGTATGATGACGTCAAGAACTTCTTTTTTAGAGACATGAAAAAACCCTACAGATTTTAGAAGATAATACGAAAAAAGAATACATTTCAGCCTTATTTCTATTTCTGTATGCAGCAATGAAGTTATGCTCCCTCATTATTAACAAATGAATTCAATTTTTAGTGACTGTCAGTAATGAACCTATTTGCGGCTTCTAAGTGTATAAGCACTGATTAGTATTTTTTTAATTCCTAGATTTTTAATTTATGAAAACTTTTACAATTTTAAGTACTAAAGATGATAACGACATTTTTACAAAAGTTTAAAAAAATAAAATTTCAGTAGCTTTATAAATTCAAAAAGGTAAGAAGAAAGTATACTTTCTATTTATCTCAATAATGTTTCTCTTTTTCTTTTCCAGTTTCTTAATATAATTCGTCACTTCAGGCTGAAAAGGAGAGTTCAGTTATTAAGTGCAGAAAACGGCAACAGAAGCGTTAATTTTCGATCTCCCTCTACCTTTGCACAAGTTATGTTCGGAAATGATGAGGTTTCTTGCTGTGAATTAAGTTTCCGAGTTTGAAAATTTCATCTGTTGTGTTCAGAAAATAATCCTTCATATTGACACATTGTAAACCAGTTGGACACCCATATCGTTACTTCACAATGGTAGCAAATTTTATCAAATCGACAGTGTAAGTCGGCAATCACATTACTCGGTTTGCGACGTTGCAGACATCTTGTCATACTTTATTTTTTAAATGGAAAACCACTCCAAGGCATTTCTTTAAAACTGATAAGATTTTTCTTCTCTGTGCGAAGAAAGTTCTGCAAAAACTTCAAGGAATGATGTCAATTTGTTCTCCTTTAAAAAATTAACATAGAGGTGGAGATTTTCAGACACCGCAGGCAAGTTATGTGATTGCCGACTTACACCGTCAAAATGGAATGTTATTTCAGCCACCTTTCACGATTCCTTCTTTACTTAATATTTTCGGTTGTAATTTTTTTTAAACTGTTTTCTCACGATGGTTCTTTAGATTTAAGTTTAGGATTTGCCATCACCATGATGTAACTGTCAATTAATTCAAACTTCGAAAAAATTTTATAAAAGACTCTAAAGTTGAAGCATTTTGCTGAGAATTCATTATCGCTGTCTAAAATCCACTAGATACATTGTTTGAAACAACTCTGAACCAGTCTTAAAGTGAATAACGCAAAATGGCTAAGCTTCAATGTTCACCTAGACCCATGCGTTGTTATTAATTAAAGATGATTTAAGCACGATCTGACCAGATGATCAAACAGATATGATTTAAAAGAAGTTCTAGAAAACAACGCACAGGCCTACTATGGTCCTGTGGTACATAGGAGTTTTTCAACACCCTCATTGCAGATTGAACTTTTCTGCTCAATGATATCTTTATTTCTTTCAGAGTTACTTCAAACCATTTCATTATCAAATTATGTAAAATTTTATCTAATGATCGGTAGATGATCATGGTAAGTAAAGTACATTATTATAAAAATGATCTGAAATTGTAAAAACGCCAGTTTGTCAGAACAAACAAAGAGGAGCACTAACATGTTCATGGATCCACGTGTGCAATCATTTTTAAAGTTCGATTGGAGTTATAGTATTTTTTTTCTTTTCTTTTTTTTGCATTTGTTTTCTGTTAAGGTTTCCTGTCTTGAGAAGGGAAACGTTAAACTTTTCTGTATTCCCAAGCGCAATAGAATAAAATTTTTGTTTACATAAATTTGTTTGCATAATTTTTATTAAAAAACTTTGGCCTTACAAAATTAATTAAATCACATGAGCACACAATATTACATGGCGATTATCCACTTAAAGCATAGAAAAGAAGAGGAAGTTGGGGCCACAATAAACTTAAGATGCAATGATACAATGCACCTTTAAATACGATAAAAATTAAAGCTGCATAAGACATGTTTGTTGTCAACTCATTGAAAGATCCTAAAAAGAAGTTTAACATCTTAAAAGCTTTGAGAACCAACCCAGTAAAGACATGAAAAGCGGTCTGTTCAAACTTTCATCGGCAAAAAACAAAAGAATCTATAGAAGTTAAAATGACTGTTGGAAACAAACTCATTCTTGGGCAAATAACTAAATCGAGTGTATAACACAAAAAATCCTGGCAGTCCTAATTAACATGCAAGATGCCCATCAAATAAAAACAGGCCACTTCATCTTTTTTTCCATGGTTCTTAAACAAAAATTTGTACAGTAAATGATCTCTTAGGTATAAAATTAAAAAACGAAATATCTGAGTGATAAAATTAGTTCTAAAAAGTGATACAGTAAAAGCGAAGAAGGATACTTAATAACAATATAAATTATAATTTTAAGATCTTGTACGGATTTGGTCCGATATTGGCCCTGACAACTGCTACATGCACTCTCCTAACGTTTATTTTTGAACTTTGGAAAAGGATTCCACCTTGATGTTCTGTCACCTGCTTTGAAGGAACATATCATGTCTGTGCTGTTACAGTGTTTAAGCAAACATTTTTTTTCTCAGGGGAACTGTTAAATGGATTTGCCTAAAATTTCTGGTCATTTATCTTCTCAGTTTGGAGAAAAGACACTAAAATTTTCAGACAAATTCATACAATGGTTCTCTTTTGAAAAAAAAAAATGTCCGCACAAGTACTGGAACAGTGCAGACACGGTAAGTTTCTTTGAGGAGGGGACCACCAAACTAGCCGGGTTTCTTTTAAAAAATCTCAAGAATACACTTTAGGAAATTGCATGGTAGTGGCAGTTATTAGGGTCAGTATAGAACACCTATTTGCTTGAAAAAATTAGCAAATATTATTTTATTAATTCAGTACTTAAAAATCAAAATGATCCATAAATTTGAAAACGCAGAGGGAAAAATCTTTAAAACTGTAAACGCCTCCTTTCACTAGGAATTTTGATCAACCTATTGACTTGGTTTCCACGATCAAAATGGGCCATGGATGCAACTATTGAATGTTACCCATCAAAATTAAGAGGCGCCGCTAATATTTGATCGGCATAAATCTCAAATAAATGGAGCATCAAATGGACGTATTTCTGTCGAACGGAACTGTGTGCATTGTGACATGAGCCCTGTTATGCGTGTATTCTTATGGGTCTCAGGGCTCATGTCTTGATGCACATAGTTCCGTTTGATAGGAATACGTCCAAATAAATGTCTTTGACACTCTGCATGCGACTAATGTTGATCAATACATACAGGCATCTCTTAATTTTGATCAATAACACTCAACAGTGACCCATTTTGATGAGCCCATTTCAATTGTGGAAACCAAGCTATTAGAAGGAGTGATTTTGCCTAATTGCCTATTTTTTTATCCAAATGTGGCATCACACTAAACTGAACATTGGTTCAACCCTAGTCTGTTTCGATTATTGACATCCTCAGTACACATTCTACAATGAGATTCGATCAGCTTTTTCCTTCTCATATGTTGATAACATAATACTTAGAAAAAATGTTTAAATAAATTACAACAATTTCATAAATTGATAAGAGCAGGGTTGCCACAGGATTTATAAGATGAAATTTCAAGACATTTCCCTGATACATTTAGATAAGAGTCCCTAGGTTAAAAAGACATAATTTAAAAAAACTTCGACATAACATTTGTTGTTCGATACATCAAACTCATTTTTGCAAGCAAATCAAGGTGACTTGGCCATTTTATCACTTCTTTGGTAAATGTCATTGGTCCTATTTTATCAGGATAGTGTGACAACATTTTCTTACTGATTTTTTTAATTGGTTGATAATCACTAATTCACAGTGAATATCAACCAAATAGAAAAACAGTAAGAAAAATTTTGCACACTATCCTTCTCAACAATTTTTTCCTGACACTTTCATCACATTCCCTGGCATTTCCAGGTTTTCCTAACTTTTAAAAATTTCCTGGCGATTCCTAGTTTTCCCGATGTTTTCTGGCTGTAGCAACCCTGATTTACATCCTCAGTGTACACATTCTACACTAGGATTCAATCTGAATTTTCCCTCTTGTACGTTGATAACATAATGCTTACAAAAAATAGATAAAATACAACAGTTTTAAAAATTAATGAGAGGACATAAATCGTTCCTCTCATTGTCTCATTACAAAAAATTAATCACAAAAGTAAAAATAATAAAAAACAGGTTTAGGAGAATCTTGCCTCGAGACATAAGACAAATAGAATCAACAAACTGTTCGAAAATCTTGTTTAATTCCGTTCTCTCAGAGGGTTCTTCTCTAATTTGGCAGGGCGAGGACTAGAGGATCCGTCTACTTTGACAGGGTTGAGTCCACCTCCGTCCACTTTGACAGTATTTAGGCCGTTTTCAACATTCGCCTTTTCCGTACTTTGGAGCTTCCGTAACCGCTTTTTCAATCTTTCAATCTCCTTCAAAACAAAGTTCAAACAATATTGTGAATTAGTCAGGTGCGAGTAGGATAAAGGAACATGATAGGAACTACTGAATAAACTTTCCATTTTTATTTTTTTTTTCAAATTAATAAAATACTACATGATGATATCAAAAGCTGTTCAAAGGAAAAAGAAGAAAATTCAATGACGTTTTTTTGAAGGAAAGTTAGAAGTCCATTATTGTATGTATCAAATGCAATGTACTTTTAAATAAAGAATTCGAATAAATTCGAATTCGAAGAATTTTTAAAGACTTCTTCTCATTTTATTTCTCTTAATTGAGCCAATTTTTGGCTGGCAAAAACTGGAATGAATCACCTTAAAATGAAATTCACAATTTTTTTCACAAAATATTTTAGCGCTGAGGCTCTTAAAATAAAAAAAACATTCTAAACTTTAAGACATAAAAGGTCATAACTCTGATTTTAGTCAATAGAGCGTGTAAAATCTGCAGAAAATAATGAAATTTTTCGGCCAGAAAAAAAGAGTTTCAAGGTTCTGCAGCTAAATTCTTTAATTGATCAGGGTTTGACAAGATTCCCTGTATTTTCAAGGTTTTCAATGATTTTCTATGAAATTGTCACCCTAAAAATGTAAAGACATTTAGGTTCTTTTAAAGAAACATCATGCACAAACTTAACGACACCTGATGATGGTGTTTAGAACCTTTTGAATTTCCGCCCCTTATTCTTTTCTTTCTTTCTTCCCCCTCCCTTTTTCTCTCTTTGTAAGCAACAAAGATGAAATGCTTGAACATGTTTTGGGGAGGATCTTTAAGTAAAAAATAAAATAATAGCTCCTTGATTGATTGCAGAATAAACAAAATGAGGCAGGCTTGCAGAGGATTCTTACTGGTTGTGCAAAGAAAAAAAATTTTTGTATCAGGATTTATAGCATTATCCAAAGTCCTTACAGTTAGACCTGATTGCGAATGAGTTTGCAAAATGAACAGAGAAGTTACCGGGAAAGTTCAGCGATAAAGCGATTCAGATAATCAAATTTTAAAATTCTAAAGGTCATTACTGTAAAGTGCCAAAATTCAATGAATTTTCCCCCAAGTACCTGCCTTTTGAAAGGTTCCTACAATGGTTGTACCCTCTAAATTAGATTTCATATGTTTGCTCCAGTTTCTTTGGTTTCCCCTGCATTAAAGTTGCATTGTTAAAGTAAACTAAAGTCAGCAAACAAGGCGCTACACATAAGCGAAAATGCTCAGCAGAAAATAAATCAATTTTCATTGAATTTTAGAACATGCAAGTCGGAAGCCTTGGAATTTCTTTCATTTATAATAATACCTACACATGCTCTCCAAGTTTAAAATCAGGGATTGTAACTTTTCAAAAATGCTCAACAATGACTCCATCACGTTATCAAGCTTTGAGGTTGATGAGTGCACAGGCTAATCTTTGAGTAGGTATGATGGAAAATTGACAATTCTTTATTTTTGATTTAGGTGGCTTGGATGGTACTAATTCAATTTAAATGGAAGATATCCGACAGCTTTAGAAAGTCCGATGAAAATTGATTTATTTACTGCTGAGTTGACAGGTTTTGCTGATTGAGCCTATTTTGTTGACTTCAACAATAAAGCTTACAAATTGTTAGTGTGAAGGGGGAAAAACACTGTTTTTTTCTTTCATTTTTAATTCACAAAGAGCAAAAGTTCACTTGTTCTTACCTTGTGCAGTTCATTATTTTCTTCTATAATTTTGTTAATATACTTTATCTTCTGTTTGGGATTTTGGTGGCCGAGGAGATCTGCAAATTTCAACAGTAAAGCCTTCTTCTCCTCTTGATAGGCCTCATTCGTGGATTCCAGTACTTTGTTTTCTCGTTCATAATCTTCCAGATGCTGACGGAACGGGCCGATTAAAGTTTCCAAATCACTGCATTTCTTTTTCAGCTCTTCGTTTTGTCTGTAATTTTCAAATAAACGATTTAATAAGTGAAAAAAAATACCGATGAATAATTTTGAAGATTTATATGTAATGTATTTTCTGTATTGCACCTGATTGGTATACTAAGTCTCATCAGAGACACGTTTCATGATTGTTGTCAGGGGTGCAGAAACTTCTTGACCGCGTGACCAGCGGATCACATCTGAAAATGGGAAGGCTAGAAACAGGTTTTAAAAACAGGAAAAATGGCCTACAACAATAAAAATGTCAACAAATTATAGAAATTTGGATGTGTTGCCATCTGATTGAACTATAACAACCGATACAAGGTTGGTCCATGATGTTCGATAAGAGATATTAGATTTCATTTCCACAGTAGCATGTTACAATTGTGCACCTCAAAATTGATTTTGTTCCCTAAAATATTCATGATAAGTAGAAAAGAGAGCGGCAGATTTCGATCATCGCTGCAATGATTCCAGCAGCTTTGTAGGTTCAACTGAATGGTCATGAAATGGTGGTCTCAGAATGCCTTCTTTCTTTAATTAATACAAAATCAGAAAGAAAATAAGTAAAACGTGAAGCTTCATTTCACCGATCAGTCGCCCGAAGTTTGGCAGAAATGTTGAGTAAAAACTCGTGCTTTCGTGCAGCCAAATATGACATCACAGGGTTTATGAGAGCATGTGCTTTCCAACCAAGCAACCATAAAAAATCGGAGGGCTGTGAGAAATGAGGCATTCGACTGTTAATAGAGGGAGAATTACTTTTTTTTGCAAAACTGCAGAGAAATTGCATGTTTTCGCAACGTGAGAGAGAGAATAAAAGACTATCACTTTGAAATTTTGAGGGGTAAAAGAGGTTTTTTAAAAGGGAAGCTCTTGGGAAAACGGGATGGCTAGGAGCTTCCTGTACCTATCCTTCACTGATTTTTAACACTCTTGTTGATACTGACTGAGTTTGGCAAAACATTTAAATAACACTTCTGTGTAACATTTCTTAAAGAAAACACGGCCTGAATGTAATAAAAAATTAAAAAAAATTTCCCTATAAAATTGAAGTTAATAAACTTAAAGCATGTACCTTTTAGATGATTCTACGGTTGAAAGTTCTTTTTGGAGATCAGCTGCCCATTGCTTGTAATAGTTCTTACGCGTTGTTAACGCTGCCAAATTTTTCTCGAACTCCTCCAAGTTCTCATTCCTTTCTTTTAGAGATGATTCAAGTTCTTCAATTTTACCTTCAAGTTTGTTGAATTCTGTCAACTTCTCGCTCATCATTTTCAGATTACAGCTACTGCGAGAAACTACAACTTTCAGACTTTCTTTCTCATCCTGGACTGTTTCCAACTGTTTGATCACACGCTCATTTTCATCTTTCAATTGCTGGTTTGATGTTCTAACTGCCTTCAGCTCATCTTCAAGACACTGCGAAGAAGATTCTAGTCCTTGCAACTTCTCGAAATATTCAGAATTCAAGCTCTCCAAATACACAACTTTCTCTGCATAATCTTGCATCATTTGATTTTTCTCTTCGATTAGTTCTTTCTTTTCTTTGATCAGCTCTTTGATGAGTTGCTCCTTTTCAGCTACTTGCTCCCTGAAATCTTCTTTCTCCTTGAGTTTACAATAGTATGATTCGATAGAAGCTTCAAGATCAACGATTTCACATTGTTTTTCTTCCAGGCTCTTGTTCGCTTCTGATAATAAATTTTCTTGAGCCTGTAGGGTGCTATTCAAGTGAGCAAGATCCCTGGACATGATTTCTATCGTATCATCTTTCAAACTGAGCTCTTTTGCTAACGCTTGATTGGTTCTATCTTTATCTAGGTTTGAATTATTAAGCGACTCAATCTCAACTTTCAGTCCAGACAGTCGGCTGTTTAAGCAGTCTTTCTCCGCGGTGAGACAGTCGATTCTTTTTTGAGCAGACTCTACATCTTCTTTTAACTTTGCAAACTGTTCAAGGTGCTCTCCGTTCTGTAAGAGGAGATGATTAGAGTTATTCTCCAAGCTTTCGAATTTTTCATTCAGTTCTTTCTTGCTGGCCTCTAGCTTTTGGATGGTTGCTTCTTTCTCTGCGAGTGACGAATTCAACTGATTGATAATTGCTACATTATTTTTGGCATTTTCTAAACATCTTTCTAAATAATCACAGATCAAAGTCTTGCTTTCATAAATGCCCTCGTTCTGATCGGAGCAAAATTCACTGACTTTCAGGGATATGTTTCTTAGAATCTCTTTGAGTTCAGCGTTTTCTCCATCTTCATTTTCTAATTTGGATTTCAAAATTTGAATCTCTAAACTCTGACTGTTGACGACAACTTCAGATTCATTGATTTGGTCTTCTAGGGTTAACTGGCGCTTTAATGACTCGTCTAATTTTTCTTCGTACATTTCTTTTTGAGCTTTTGCCATTTGCTTAAACTTTTCAACCTCGTTGAGTAATCTATCGTGGATGAGTTTGGTTTCCTCTATTAATGCTATTTCAAGCTCGTTCATACATTTTTCGAGTTTCTCGTATGCCAATTCTTTTTCCTTCAATAAATCGGCCAGCTTTTGCTTTTCTTCTTGCAGAGATTCGATACGTGTCCCAGCTTGTTCTAGATGTGAGCTGAGAGCTTCTACCGCTGCCTGAGCATTTTTTGAGGCTACATGCAGACTTTTACACTCTTTCTTAGCCATCAATAAGTTGTTTTCTAATTCTTTGATGCTCATTTCTTGGCTTTCAGTTCTCGCTTTCAAATCATCTCTTTCAGCTTCCGCTTTTTTTTTCTTGCCAGCTAATCTGTCAACTATCTGATTATACTTGCTCTCTGATTCAGCAGCGTACTTGCTGATTCTGCTGTGAAGGGTGCCTCTGACAGTTTTTATTTTGCTTTCAATTCCGCTGTATGAACCGGCTAATTCGTCGAGCTTCGCTTGGTTATTGGTTTCAATAGTGCTCAGCTCTGAAACAAGGTTTTCTTGAAGAGACTCTAAACGATCCGCAAGCCAAGTTTGAAGACCTCTATAGTTGTTCTCATCCTCAGCTAGGTTGGACTGAAGTGCTCGTAAGCGATTCTCAAAAGCTTCTCTTGTCGTTTGCAAACGCTCTTCATTTTTCAAAGAAAGTTCCAGCATAGTATTTGCATTGTCTATCATTATTTTTTCTTTTTCAATTTTCATATGATGCATCTGTTGCTCCAGATATGATACTTGTTCTTGCAATGCCGATACTTCTTCTTCCTTTGATTTCAGCTCCGCCTTAAGAGCTTCAAGCGGTTTCTCAATAGTTTCTTTTGCACTTAATAATTCAGCTAGTTCGTTTTTTAATTGGGTTTTTTCTGCAATTAAAGCTGAAATCTCGGCTTCTTTCTCCTTCATTTTCTTCTCAATTTCTGCAGCGACAGCCTCCTTTTCGGTTAATTTGGACTTCACAGAGCTCTCTTCCTCTTGCAGTTCTGAGATTTGACCGTTCAAATCATTGATATAATTGATGTAATCGTTTCGCTCACTGTCCATTTTACTCTCAAGATCTGCAATTAATTGTTTCTGCTGTGTATATTCCATTAAATGATCTTGTTTGATCTTAGCTTTTTCTTGATCGTAATGGTTCTTCATGTCACTCATTTTCAGACCCATTTCTGACAACGCAGCCTGGACAGAGAGAATTGTCTCTTGCTTGACTTTGATGGTCGATTTGAGCTCATCATTCTCTTTTTTGAGGTCTGCAAGCTCTACTACAGCTGCTTTAAGATTATTGGTAGTTAGATGAAGTTTTGCAGATATATCTGTATGAGAATCTGATAACTTGAGTAGATGTTCAGAGTGCAATTTTTCCAGCGCCTAAAAAGAAGCAAAAGTCAATTGATCAAATTTAATGAATTCAATGAAGAAAAAAAAAACTACATTAGAGATGTATAAGCTACAAGATAGATTGATGACAGAAGATGTAGAGACTTGTGTCAGTATAACCAAAAAAACAAAAATTGATAAGCAGATAGGATTTTGTCTGGTCTTGTCGTGCCAACATACTTTTAACAATTGGAATGCTGGGACCAATGGTGAATATTCTCTCTAATATTCTGAGCTGAGAACCGGTAACATGGCAAACATTGATCAGAGCTCAAGCTATGGATGAGAAGAAAATGGCCTCAGTACTGGAGTCCTTATAAAAATGTTTTCATGAACTCACTTGCAGTAAAATTAATTATGAGAATGCGTTTTGGAATCTACATCTCCAGTCTCAGCCAGCAGCGAACAGCGAATTATTCAATGGATAAGAGTTTGTCTTTAAAATTTGACTGAGCCTCCCTTCCACGTAAATCATACACTGGATGCTGCACAAAAAATTCTGAAGGGAAAAGCCCTGTCTTGAAGATAATACGGATATGTACCCTATTATGGCTTATGTATCCGTCATTGTTCTAAGTCTCTTAAAATTTCTCACAGAACGGAAATCGGTCTTATAAACCTTTTTAATTAATTGCTTGTATTCTAGATAGTTTTCAAACTGCTTTCCTTGGCTTTTTTGATAATATCTTAGTTCCTCATTTTTTATCTGATCACTTTTGCAAAACTTTATTACTACTACTAAACTCCTGATATTACTAAGTAATAAAGCCCTACACAAGTGATTAGGTGAGAAACGAAGAATCAAGATATTAACATTTTCCGCGATCAAAATAAAGTTCCAATAAACTTTAAATCAAGTTGAACACTTATTCTCTTCAGTGGAAAAGGAGCACTTCTCTGCTACAGAATCGCCATCAACAATCTCTTTTTTCGTAAAGAAACTACCAGAAAATATACCTGCTGAAAAATACCTATTATTTACAAGTCTTAGCATTATTCATCTATCTAACTCAATGTGTCATAAACCGTTCAGTTTCCTTTGTTTTCATGATTCCACTGAGGCAAATTGCAATCTCTTTAAAAAAAAGATGTATTCTACAAAACGTAAAATTTTTGATAAAAAAAAGAAAGGCTAAAAAAGTATACCGCATACAACTTGGTTTTCTTCCTAATAACATGCTCATGAAAGGAAAAAAATTATTCATTACCTCCTTTTCTCCTTGCTTCAAGACCAGCTCTCCCTCTAGTTTTTTAAGTTCTTCTTTCAACCCTTCAATTTCTTTCAATTTACTTTCCATTTTGAGCCGACTGTCACAGCAAGAAGATGAATTTCTGAAAAAAAAATAATTGCAATAAGGTTCTGACTTTTGATAAAGGTAAATGAGACAAAAAAATCAATACTGAAAACTAGAAAAGCGTTTCGATCAGTTCAAGGGTCCAGAAAATGCTGAATTGCTATAATACGATGCTCCCAAGCTTTCTTGTCAGAGCGGTTAAGGTTTTTTTTCTTTCAATTTATAATCTAAATTTTCTTTCCAATCCTCTAGAGCGGGATGTGGCGTTGACATTTTAGTGAAGAAATTAGTTGCATTAGAGCAACACTTTTGCATAGAGATTTGTCGAGAAATTTGTCTATAAACTTATAACTCCGAAACTAAAAGCTTCGGACTGCATTTTTAACATTACTAATGTAATATGCAATAAATCATAATTCTCACATTTCACATTCTGTGGTGTAAAGTAAATAAAAATGAATAAATAATCATTCTATTCGGCTAAAACTATCCCTTTTAATGAGAAAAACATGGAAAAGACACTTCTGTCACTAGAAAACAGGTAAAAATCCATATCACGGAAGGCAAAATGTGTAAATAAGGAGAGAAAGTTCGTTGGCCAGAAGAAGGGCGTACATTCGGTGTACTTTACGAATCAATTATTCACGTAACGAATTGACAGATTTTTCTCAAACTTGGAGGATACTCTCACTATTCGGCGTAGAATCAGATAAGTTGAATGTTGAAAGAAGGGCGCATCTCGAGATACGCCCTTCTTTCGGCACGGTCTTCAATTATTGTACGAAATTATTTTACCCTCTGAAGAAAATTTTATGCTTTGTTTCGAGTAAAAATATTGGGTGATATTTTGGGGGAAAGAATTGGAGACGAGAGGAAATGTTAAAGCGACAGAATGGAGAAAATATTAAGATTATGGTATTTAAGGGGGCAATCTTGATTGGGTGTAGAGAGAGAGAAGCTGCGCTGTAAAAGCAGTTGTTATGTATGTATGTATGTATGTATTCTAGAGAAGGGAGATCGTCATAGCATCTTTCGATCAATATTTTAACAAGCTTCCCAAGCCATTAAAAGAACTTTTCATTAAATCAGAAAATTCAAATCTATTCCTAAATAACATAAAAAATTACTTCATAGAAAACCCTTTTTACGAGTTAAAAGAATATCTCGACGCAAATCTCCCCAATCCCTAAATTGCCTGAATGTAGTCCCCTAAGTCTTAAGTCTTAGTTCTTCATTTACTGTTTTCTTTTTTTTACTTGTTTGTTAAAATTTTGTTACATTTATTTGATGTTAAATTTTGTTCCATTAAATTATTTGACGAGTGTTAAGCTCATAAATTTGTATGAATTTCATGAGGCTGTTGCATTAATAAATATATTATTATTATTATTATCGTCATGTCACCGTGGCTTTGGTGTGTTGTTATGCATAGAGCATATTATAAAATATAAATTATTCATTCTATTTCTTCATGGCCATGTGGACGCATTGTTCCTTTTTGCTTTGATGCTATTGTACGTAGGTATTCCATTTTTTTGTAATTGGACATTTTCCTGTCAAAATTTCAAAAATAGGTAAAAAAATGAATATGTGATGTGTGTGTGTATGATAAAAACTTTGCAGGTTTTTTTTTTTTTTTTTTTTTTTTTTTTTTTACCCATGCAGTTCATCAATACCTCCATCAGCAAGTAGTAATTCTAATTGGTCCCTAAACAAAAAAAAACAAAAAAATTCTGGCTTTTTGTTCACTAGCTGAGAATGCTTTGTCTACGATGATACAAAAAGAATTAGAGAGAAGAGCAAATTATTACTTACCCTGGTTTTTTCTGGGAAAACATTCTGTCTAGTTTTGAGGTTGAAAGAGCAGGAGTCAGAGGAATCCTGCGCCGTGGTAGCTGTGGCTGTAAAAGAGGGAGATCATACAACTTAGATCATTCACTTGATGCATAGTTGATTGAAAGAGTCAACTTCATGAGAGGAGAAAAGGAATTTTAAAAAATTTGGATGAATATGAAGTATTAAATTGTTGAGCTTGTTCCAAGAAAAATCATGGGACAAACACTTATAATACATGGAGAACAACTTAAAGGTAGGCGAAGGCTGTAAATATTCATGATACGTCCTATTGGCAAAATGATCCATTGGAATGATCAGAATTTTAACCAATTCATGATTTAGATAGACCAGCTGAGGCTGAGCGTCACATGAATTGAAATAGACCATTCTGTGACATGGGGCAAGGAAATGCTCGCCAGTCTGCAGAGTGGTCAGTTTTCTCCGGCCTAATCTCATGGAATGGTCAGTTTCTGACATATTCCATGCTTGGGTCAGCAAGTCTGACAAATTCATAAATTGATCAAAATTCCGACCATTGCAAAGAATCGATCATTTTCCTAATGGGATCAAAAACAAACAAGGAAATCCTACAATATTTGGGAGAATAAATCACCATTTCTAACAGAAAAAGAAGAAAAAAAATAATTGAACTTCAATCTACACCACAAAGAGCGGCATTTATTATCAGGGACAGTGACTGGCTTTGAGTATAAGTTTGAGGGTCAATCCGGTGCATTAGCTCATTTAAACGACCGACACTCGCCAAAACCAATCAGCCCTAACACAAATCCCTGTCACCCTCCATTTTTTAAAGAAGGACTACAACAACAAAACCGAGTGTTCAGTTGAGCTTTCACAGATAAGTCGAAGCGCTTGGGAAGTAAAAGGCTGATTTTTGTTGTAGCATATAATGTGATCACTCAAGTATTTCTTGACATTTCTTGGTGCTCGCTAGAAATTCTTAGTTGTGCTTGTTGGTCGGCTTATCAGAAATTCTAAAACACATTTTCAAGTCTTTTGTCATTTGGAGCAATTTAAATTACAACATTAAAACACAAATGGATAGTTTTTCATCTGAGGACTTATGGTAAAAACAAATTCTAAAATACTGATATCAGAAGCAAGGTAGAATATATTCTTTTAAAAAAATAACAGGTATACTAACTGTTCGAAATGGAGCAACGCCTGAACCAATTGAATCCAGACTTTCCGTGGATGAACATAGTGATTGACTGTCCGATGGTTTCTTTTCTTTAAACCGCTCTGAGGTGTGAATCACTATAGGGATGGCTTTTCCTTTATCATCAAACTTCGGATCATAAGCACCTGGAGGTGGAGCACAAGCTAAAAAAGAGAGGAATTGGGCATTAAAATTAATATTCGACTAAATTGAACAACACACTAATGATGCAGATTAATAACTTGAAGTAATTACTTAGAGGTCCAATGCTCTCTAAATCACCATGTAAAACAGTCATTACTTATTTTGCAAATCCACGGTGTAAGTCGGCAATCACATAACTCGGTCTGCGACGTCACAAACTTTCTGTCCTACTCTATTTTTTAAATGGGAAGCTACTCAACGGCAATTCTTTAAAACTGTCGTGATTTTTCCTCTCTGTCCGAAAAAAGTTCTGCAAAAACTTCAAGGAATGATGTCAATTTGTTCTCCTTTAAAAAAGTAACATAGAGGCGGAGATTTTCAAACACCTCAAACGAGATATGTGATTGCTGACTAACGCTATCGAAATGTGCCAACAAAGAATTAGTTTTCAACTCATTTTTTCTATTTTTTTTTTTTTTTTGTGAGGAAAAAAATTTCATTTTGGACATAAACCTTATTTGATTAGAAACAATTGTAGTTAATGCTTGATCATTTCATTGCTGACTTTTTTCTCCAGTAGGTACCAACGTTAACACTTCCACTTCAATTTTTTCCCCTTTAAATTACCCTCGCTTCTACTGAACACATCTCACATAATTCTTTGACTTTTCCCAGTTGCTATGATTACCCTTTTATCATCAAGTTCTTCGACATTAAGATTAGTCACTCATTCATGTGCTTCCTGACCGGAAATGCACAATATTGTCATCAGGAGTTCGTCTACTTTCATCTTTCATGGAACAAAAGGATCAAACCCACATGGTGATGACTAGACTCAAGAACCATGTATTCAATTGTAGAGCGACAGAATTATGCAATGTTGCAGACCGAAATTAGCTCACAATGTGCACTCATTCTTGGGTTTATCACAACTTGTAAACTCAAAATCACTTTCGAGTTTATGTGTGATGGATAAGATGAGACGTTGTAACCCTTACCTTCCAAATGAACACAATAATCATATAAAAATGCTCTTTAGTGTCTCTCAAGGTGTGAGGAACATAATTGATGTGAAAAATTTCAACTTACAGACATCATCATTGAAGCGATGAATCTTGGCTTTTGCGAAAGACATGGTCCAAAAGTTAGGTATACTCGTGTGCTGTGAAGTTCACTCAACTGTTGCTCAAAGATGTTATTTTATGGAGATGCTGACACCCAAGTGCTTTAATTTAGAAGCCAATAATTGTGCAAATCATACTTATAAAAAGAGAGTACGGTTCGCGGAAACAAAAATCCTGAAGAACAAAAAAATGATTGTAACGGCCACCCGCTTCAACTTACGACATCACATCACCTTTTTCTTTTTTTGATAGAATTCGTAACCGTCAAATGCTCAATAGAGCAAAATAATGATAAGAGCCAGATGAGTTATTGATAAAAGCGCGGGAAAACAAGACTCCAAACAGAGCGTAGATGCGTAGAAATTGCATACCTTTCAGAGTTTTCTCGTGAGATCGTGGCAGATCGTGGTCTCTTACTTAGTCTATAGAATTCCGGATTGATAAGCGGATCAGGGCTGCCGATTCGTGAGTAATTACTCACATCGTGAGTAATTTGAGCACCGGTGAGTAAAACGTGAGTAATGAGTAATTGGTGAGTAATCCGACGATCCGTGAGTAATCGTGAGTAATGCAAAATCCATGGGTAATTCTCAGTAATTCTCCATTTTTGGCGCAATTTGTGTGAGTAATCGGTGAGTAAAATTTAAAACGATGAGTAATCGGTGAGTGAAAACAATGTCAATGTGAGTAAAATCGGGAAATGGTGAGTAAAAAGTGAGTAGAATTGAGAACGGTGAGTAAAAGTGAGTAAAATCGCGATCAGTGAGAAGCAAGTGAGTAAATTTTAGATTGGTGAGTAGCGTGTGAGTAAAAAATTCGCGAAATGTGAGTCCGAGTATCGGCAGCCCTGAAGCGGATTGTTTGTTTACTTATCACCTGATAACGAATGAATTTATTAACATCGAGCTGTTGTATTATAAGAGATCTAGTGACAACTCTGAATAGCTTTTAATTTTCCAGTCTAATTTTTTTCCGATATTTTTGAAGCTTATCGTACTCGGACTTGTTGCTTTTATTACTCTTCGAATCGTAAGTTATCTAACTTTTATTCACCTAGTTCTCTCCTGTCATCTACTTACCCATTCATTAAAGGGAGGTACTTTTTCTTTCTCATACGTCTCTTGAAAATTAAAGTATGAGGTTTCAAAGCCATCCTTTTTTCTTTTCCCTAAAATAAAATCTCTCAACGTAGATTCATTGAGTCTAGTGTGATGCAAGCCAGGTCAAGTGCTCAGCACCTCAATTCACTCGGGCGGAGAGGTCATTCTGGAGCCAAAGTACCAAAATTTAACTGAATGGATACAGACTGGAATCTCAATTTTAAATGCAGATCAGCTCTAGATTGAACCCACATCCTTGTTCAAAAAGAGTAAAATGCTGAGCACACTCCAGGAAGGTATTGACAGCTCTCTAAACAAAGATTTTTATTGACTAGATTAAGATAAGATTTATTGTCCCATTGCTGGCACATACCTACCTTGTGTCTTTATTTACATTCCCTTGCAGTAGCCTTTTGCTTGCTGACAGCATTATCGAGTGAAATAACTTGATTATATTTCTTGTAACTAATACTTTCTGACTCAGCATCAAAGGGTCAATGCGCAAGTATTAAATGCTTATAATGGCCTCAATTTTTTTTTTTTTTTCAAAACAAGAAGGAATACATTTTTTTTTTGTTTTCTTTCTACCAAGTAAATCATATTACATTTTAAACAGCTCCTGTAAAGTTTAGCGTAAAGAAAAGAGGCATAATACTTATTCTCTCAGTTTCAGGTCAGCAAATATGTCAAAACGAGGAGAGGAAAAAATCATTTTGGTCACAGGAGGAAGCGGTTTGGTTGGCCAAGCAATCAAGAAAGTTGTAGAGACGGAAAAGAGGGAAGGGGAAAAATTTGTTTTTTTATCCTCCAAGGACGGCGATTTAGCGTAAGTGCAGTGTACAACACGAAGCAAATTATGGAATTCACAAAAACAAAAAAGATGATAATAAAAGAAAGAAGAAAAAGAACAGAAAAGTTAGTATCAAGTGTGCATTTCAAGTAACCAATCTCTTCATTATAATTACGTCAAAAATTGGTGTAGCTTCGCAAAATATCAATGATGAAACTACAAAACCATGCATCTCGATCTTTAAAATTTCCTTATCACATTAGACTTTTTGACGATTGACTGATCAATGTTACTGCACAATTTTTTCTATGATTCTCTTTTTTATGATTATTCCCTTAAAATATGCTACAAAATGTCTGGTAGTTTCCAGTGTGATCTACTACCTGCTTTCCTCAGATGTTTACAAAATTATATTTCTATTCTGGTTTGTTTTTTTATTTCTTGCAGGGATGCAGAAGCAACTAGGAAAATTTTTGAGAAGTACCGACCAACTCACGTCATACATCTAGCGGCTAAAGTTGGAGGTCTTTTTGACAACATGGCACACAATCTAGATTTTTTGGTACAGAAAAGATTATGCTTTCAATTTTGTTTAGCTTGTACAATCAATTTTAGCAATATTTTCACTCTTCAGTTCTTTCCGTTTTCATTCTTATTTTTTGATTTTTTTTTTCATGGACACCAAACAAGAAGGCTCCTGAGAAGTTCCTTCAGGTAATTTTTGTTGGGGTAAAATGAGATGGAAAAACATGTAATTAGAAGCAAATTCATTCCCAGTTTTTCTTTGAGAAACAATAAAACTGTCTAACCAGATTGAAGGAAAGTTGCAAGGTTCGTCTCTTTATAAAATTATTGGAATCTTTTGAATTTCTTTTAAAAGTTTCAAAATATTTCTGGGAAGTCTCAAAATTTTTCCTAGACAAGTAAAGAATATTTTGGAGAGATCAGAATTTCTTCAGTTTTGAAAGCTTCCGAACCAAGATCCAGTTCAGGAATTCCCAATTTTTTTGTCAAACTTTGGACTTCCCGCATCGTTGTGGAAAAATTCAGGAAACTACAGAATCTTCTGCTCTTTCTCAGGGAAATTTTGTCAGCATCTAGAAGTATTAAAATCTTCACATTTTTGGAACATCCTCAGAAAGGATTGAAGTTTTCTAAATATATCAGCAAAATTTTTGGAAACATTTTCCTAAGGATTTTTGGGAATATCCCAGAAGTTCCCTCGTTTTTCAAAAACTTTCTGTATTCTCCTACCTTTTTCCTTTTTTTAAATTCGTGTAGGTGGCATTTCCCCTTAAATCATCCTAAACTTTTAAGTTTTTCCAGCTTCCTGCAAAATTATGAATTAAGTGTTTTTTTTTTAAAGTCTTAGGATGCAGGAAGTAAGTTTAATTGTTAGTCAAAGCATACTATTCTTTCCTTTCAGAGTTGTAATATGCTAAAAAATAGTCCGTTTTCAGGAAGCATATATACTTTCAATTTCTTGCAAAGACCTCAGAGAAAGCTTTTGTTTGGGGCTCCTTGTAAAAGAGGGCATACCCGCCCCTCCTATTTTTAAATTTGAATTTATGTCAAATGTTTGTCTCATTTACTTACAAATCCAAGAAATCATATTTTTGAAGCTGTATATTTGACTGGTTGTACGTATTACCCCAATCGCCTATAAAAATTGCCTGATTTCTGCTTCACAGAGACAAAATATACACATAAATGACAATGTGCTGCAAACAAGCTATGAAACTGGTGTTTTCAAGGTCGTTTCATGTCTTTCAACTTGCATATTTCCAGATAAAACCACATATCCCATCAATGAAACCATGGTAAGGCAAGGTACCTCCTTACTTTTTCATTGATTTATACTTGTTTTATGTAAGTAACTTTTCTCACTTGAAGTTATTCCATTGATAAGCTGAGATTTGCAATCACTCAAACATGGTTTGTGCGCCCTTGATAATGGCTTGCTTTTGAAATTTTTTTCAAGGCCTTGAAGTGCTTGATTTTTTGGATGGTGCTTGAATTTCACTTTTCAATGATTTTTAGCTGTAAATGCTCATTGTTCAGAAACAACAAAGTATCTAATGTTGAGTAGTTTGTTTGGGAAGACATCCTGATTAAAAAGGATATTGCAAACCTCCTAATATAGAGGATACAAAATTGCTGATGTGGACTCAAAGGCCCTTTGATATAGGCACCTTAGGTAAGGTAGGGCCCTTAAGTAAAGCTTACTACATTTCCTTTAATTTTTGAGCAAAGACATCTTTGAGATTTTTGAACAAATTTTGAATTTATATCTGTATATGTTCATATTTTATATTATTTATTTTATTGTTAAATATCTGCGTAAATGCTGCTAAGCCAATTTTTTTTTGTTGGATATGGTCCAATAAATCCATTCACAACAAAAATCCTTCACTGCTCCTCTCTTCTTTGAAAATTTCACCTACCTATGAACGGCTGATAAGTTTATTATGCATGCAGATGATAATTACGGAAAAGAAGCAAATTAAAAACAAAAATCAAAATAATAAGATATAATTCTCATTTTTCAAAATCACGACATTGGAAGAATACTGTGTATTTGGGAAATAATCATGGGAAAGGTCTCAGAAAGTGCTGGAAAACTGTGCTTACAGTGCTTAATTTTGTATTCTTGAGGCTCTTTGAACCATGCTGAAGTGAGAATTCACCGTAAAGAAATTGCTGTTGAAGTGGAAAGTTTTTAACGCCAAAAAAATTTGTGAAAGTATTTTCTTATTTTTTACAGGTGCACAATGGACCCCCTCACAATTCCAATTATGGGTACAGTTATGCTAAACGACTGATTGATATCTCCAACAGAGGCTATTATGATCAGTACGGCAAAATATTCACTTCTGTGATTCCATGTAATGTCTTTGGACCTCATGATAACTTCAACTTGAAAAGTAGTCATGTTATACCTGGTTTGATTCGGAAATTGTATGATGCAATGGAAAGAGGTACGCTAATTAGGCATGTAGTAATCAAAAGACTTTTCAACATCAAAAACCAATTGTAAAACAAAAAAGAGACATCGATCACAAAAACTTTCGTGTTTTTTTGTAACTGGCAGGTAAAAACTGGGAATTCCTGCGGGAATATGAGTGTTTAAACTCCTATTCATCTCTTCGTCCACTTCTCTCTCTTGCATGCAGGCAGGCAATTGGTTCATCTGTGATAGTTAACCTGATACTGATCACAAGAACTGGTCTCATATATATTTAACGAATCAATGAAAATGCCTCTTTTTTCAAGTATTGCACGAGCTAGTTTAAGGGAGAAAGAACCTATCACTGCGCCTGCAATTTTTCTGAAAAATGTGTTACAATAGTACTACAATATGCTCAAATATACTTGATTTGTTTTTATTTTTTGTTTCCTGTGTCTGTTGAGATTGTCTGAGCGTAGGTGAAAGGCACAGTGCACAGACAATCTAAATCTAAAAAACATCTGAATTAATACTTTGCTCTTTTCTGTTTTAGGAGACAAAGAATTTGTTGTTCTTGGATCAGGGAAACCACTACGTCAGTTCATTTATTCTCTAGACTTAGCTAAATTATTCCTGTGGGTGCTGCGAGAGTATGATGAAGTTGAACCAGTTATTTTATCCGGTAAGTCTCTTGTTGTTTTGTAAGTTTTTTGTTAGTAATCTTTTCCATCGATTTAATTTAAAAAACCAGGAAATAATTCATTTTAAAAAAAGGCTGGCAGAAATCAATTTTTTTGTCTTCTCTTTAACAATGTCAAATTTCTTGGTTGAATTCAGTAAATATGCTGATCAAGACATTGCTTAGCTGTGATAGAGGCAGTACGAGAACCTAATTATTTCATATTCTCACCTGTTCATGGAGATTTTAGTTGAATATAATTGTCAGCTTAAATAACAACTTATGATGATGGTGATATTATTACTTCCAGTAAAGGGCTGACAACAGGGAGAGGAGGAGGAGATTGGAATGTGTCATTTGCCTGATGATCTGTGGGAGGACGGATTCCAATGGCGATTGAGAATCGCAGAGCGCTCTAATGCGCTTACTTAGCAGCTTGATATATATGTATATAACAAAGTGGAGAAATGGTGCTGGGTCCACACCATTCCGCAGGGAAAACAAAGCCAAGAAATTCCAAAAATTATAATTAGAGCCCAAAATACATTTTTTGAACTCTGATGATTACCTGTACAAAACTGAGGGGGGTGAGTGTTCAGCTCAGACAGTTTGCATTGGAATATTAAGTTGGAGTCATGCGGAGAGATCTATACCGGTTTGGGCCTTTTTAGACCTCATCAGCAGATCACACTCTGCAGTGAACCCAACTTAACATGTCGCAAAATCCAAGACAGCATCAAAACGCTGTCATCGATATGACCCGAGGCATGACACAAAAGTGTGATCCTTGCGCCATCTACCGTCGCTGCTGAACAACTCTCATAACAAATCAAGGAAAACCCAAAAAAATGATTATCAGGCTGGTTGGAGATGTGAACGCATCTAGACTCAACCGCCCGCTCCCTAACGGAAGAACACATATCCCCGAACTGTGCGTACAAATGCAAAAAAAAAACACTAAGAGGCCCAAAATGTATGTAACAAGGTGGAGAAATGGTGCTGGGTCCACACCATTCCGCAGGGAAAACAAAGCCAAGAAATTCCAAAAATCATAATTAGAGCCCAAAATAAATTGTTTGAACTCTAATGAGTACCAGTACGAAACTGAGGGGGAGAGTGTTTAGCTCAGGCAGTTTGCATTGGAATATTAAGTTGGAGTTTGGATTTTTCATTTATATATGTATGTATGTGTTGACAGTGTTGCAATGCCCTCATTACTACACCACCAAAGCTGGCTTAGAACATTGATATTAATGGCCAAAGCGCTGAACTACCTATCTTCCTTGCCTTCTCTCAAAATGTCCACACTTATTTTATTTTTTTATGGAGAGACAATCCAATTTTATAGGCTGAAGTTTATATAGAATTTTCTGTTTATAAAGAGGAAAAATCGAGGAAGTTTTCAAGAAATTATGTTGTCTACTTTTCCAAACAAAAAATCAATCAAGGAAATTTTTCAAAAAATTATCTTGTCTACTTTTCCAAAGAAAAGATAAATCATGGCAGGAAGTCTGCAATATCTCAAATGGAGATACGTGGTTTTGCACTTTAGTCACCAATATTTAAAGACTTTATTTCTCCATAAACATTGATAGTTTCTCAGTACTTTCTTTGGTTTTTATATAGTATTGAAAGGATATGTTTAAAATTTTTCAGTGGATGAAAAAGATGAAGTTTCAATAGAAGAAGTGGCGAGATTGATTGCCAAATCGTTCAGTTACCAAGGAATGATCAGATTCGACAGTAGCGCAGCAGATGGTCAGTACAAGAAAACCGCTTGCAATAATAAGTTGCGGAGCTTGATTGGTACTGAGTTTAAATTCACTCCGCTGGCAGAAGCAATTCAAGAAACAGTAGCATGGTTCCAGAATAACCATGGTATTGCTCGCCTGTGAGTATTTGGTGAAAGAATCAGAAGATAAGACAACAGCAAGGAGGGGACACAAGTAGGCGTCTCCGTAACCCAGTGCACTATTTCAATATCAAAACTTCGAGCTGATTATTGAAATTGATAGACAAAGTGTATTTAAAGAAGATAAAATTAGAAATGGAGCTATCTCATTAATGAAAGTGGGTGGTTACAATGGACGAAGGAAATAAGTAATAGACTAATTGACTGCAACCCATGAGAGACCCCATGATTAGTCTTCATTTTTCCCCCTTAGGCTATAAGAACCATTCATTTCAACCAATAGGATCCCACTCCATTTTCCTGCCGTGTTCTTTGTCTATTGCTGTGTCTACCAATTTTAAAAAGTCAAAGAGGTATTTTGCAAGAGCCTCTCTTCCTCATAAAAATAGAAAATCGCATAGCATTTTACATTTTGGATTTATGTTTAGTGCCTAAAGTAGAATTAAAATGCATTAAATGGACTACATTTTGAAATTACGAACTACTCTTTCTGATCTATATTAGAAACAGTATTTGTGTTATTAGTTTCTCCATGCAGGTAGGTGCTTTTAAGGGTGGGCCGAGAACAGTAGCTTCTAATTGCAAAGTGTAATCTTAATATAAGGTAACTGGGAGTTTGTTATCAGAGATTTTCGTTTTCTTTTCTGTGTATATTTCATGCAACGGCTGAAGTTTCGCCAAGCAAAACCTTCATGCAAAAGAAAAAACCATAACTTTATCAACTCAGATAGCATATCTCTACCATGTAACACACACTTAGACCAATATTAACCTAAGAACAAAAATCGAAAAGAGGGTTAGTAGAATAATATCTGTGATTACTTTATTGTTTTGGCGAAATTGATGACCAAGCACCTTTCCTTTTCAAAGTGGCATTTTGCTGCATTTTATCACATTTAAAGTCTGAGCACTTTTCTTTTTGTTTTCTTTTATGTTTTCTCTAGAGCTCTTTAGCGGCATTAGTCTATAAGTACAAAGTCAGGGTTTTTCCAAAATCCAGAGCTTTATAAAGTCTGTGTCTGTTGAGTCTTTGCCAATTATGTATATCCTGTTTGTTACCTCCAAACAGTCAACAGTTGCATGGGCTCTTCCTAAGCCCTCGCCTATTTTTCGATAGGAAGTGTTGATGTCTTTTTAATAAAGTAAAACCTTGACAATTTGATGACTGTAATTTGCATGAAGGCAGAAAATATTTGTCCCCAATACTTTCAGGGTATTATTTTTAGTGAATTTGGAAATCTTCCCTCTGAAGTGCTGCTGATGAAAAAAAGATTGGTCCAATATAGAATTAAGATAAGTAGGAATATCATAAGATTTCATAAGTCTCAAAATGAGTTAACAAATAATCTTTGAATATTGTAGAGAGCAGTACAGAAATGTGGTTTTTTTTTTCTAGCCTCTTGCATAAAGGAATGTATCTTGATTGCGCTGTTTCAGTTTTTCTCACTTACTTTTTATTTTACCATTGAAGAACCATCACATGAATTTGCCTGAAATTTCTAGTGATTTCTCTCTACTTTGGTGAGAAAAGGTACTAAAAATTTCCGACCTATTCGTGCTATGATTCTCTCTTGAAAAAATACAATATTTGTAGAAATACTGAAGAAGCGCCGACTATATGCGTTTCTTTGTGCTGGAGACGACAATTTTATCCTCATTAAGGCTCTGCATGTTTACAAAGGAAAAGATGTTCTGCGCAAACCTACTTATCAATGTGCAGACAACGAGTTGTGACAACTGGGAGAAGAATTTCTGTGTACCTGCATGATTTGCTGGTGAGACATCGTTTTCTTACTAAACCTCAAATGGTTTTTGTGAGGTGTTAAAATAATTGTGAGTCTCCCTGTACAGTTCGATCTAGAGGAAAATTACAAGTGAGATTTTCCCCACCTACAATTTTCGTGATAATTTTCCTCTCAATGCAACTTTCGCTACCTGCTAACATGTGTGACCAAATTTATGATATTAAGATTGCTGTAACTGTTTCTACTTTGTTTTTATTTTTAAGAAGAATCAATCAAGTTCTTTCAAATCAACTTATCTTAAGGATCTCTTTTATAGTATGTTTTTGTATGTATTTAAAATTCAATTTCATCAGCCTCCTAGCTTTGTTAATCACTCAGAATTCTTATCTACAGAACTTCTCCAAATATTTTAGATTTCATGGTGGATGGTCAATATGATCAAAAATGTATTATCCATAATTTTTTCACTATCTGCAGTTTTGTTTGCATCTTAACGTGTACGTTTAATAGGATGTACGTAATTTCTTACCCTTCCATCAGGCTCTTTTACGTTAATGGTAAATCTGGTAAAAATTTTTTAATTACCCAGACTTTCTAGCCATAAAAAAATAGTGGGCTACCTCAGCCAACTTTTAATTTTATTCTTCCCTCTAGGATTGTATTTTAATTTTTAATGGCAAATGGATTGTATTTATGTAATCAGTGTTATATCTTCAGATATTTTTGTAACACCTCTTCTAATATGTCACCAAGGATGCTACTTGTTTCTGTGCACAGGGAAAGTTTTAAAAATTAAAATGAAAAAGAAACCTCCAATTTTTTCTTCCGACCAAAGATTAATTCATAAGAAATCCCTTTCATAATAAGGGTACCTATTCAAATTTAATCCATGTATGCTTCCTAATTTAAAGCTACCCATCATTTTTCAAGGAATTTTTATCTTATCCATACATCCAGTCCACAATGGAAGAAAGAAAGAAAACATAATTATTTATATACTTTTCATCTAAAAATCCTCTTCATTAATTTCTCTATCAGAGTCTCTGAAAAAATTATCCTTGAAATATTGTCGATTATTTTTGAACGTATCAAAACTTTTTGTAAATTGTCAGGCATTCTTCCTTCATTTTGCAAAGGTCCTCGCAACTAAAAAAAACCTCAAAATTTTTTACCTCTGAAACTGCAAGTGGAACATTCTAAAATGTCCTCATGTGAACGCACATCTTCATTATTATTTTTTCCACAAAATCCTGTCAATTATTGTTACTTTATTGCCTAATTATAGACATTTTTTTCCACTGAAAAATATGAAATTCATCACTGATACCATTCTCCGTGATTTTCATGGCAATAAACTATGATTTCTTTTCGTTCAAAAATACAATCTTATGTTTCTTTAGCCACCTTCATACATGTGATTTGAGTTTTCTACAAGTAAGGAAAGGGCAAAGGCTAGAAATATTTTAACAAATCATGAAATTAGATGGAAGTAATTAATGCTATAGAGTCCAGAGTGTACCAAGTATTCAGGAGAAGCGACAATTTTATAACTGCCTTATTATTCCTTTTTCCTTCTCCATCAATTTAAACTTACTGAATGATTATTTTGTCCTTTCATGTCAATTAAAATCGCTCTCAAAGTGTAAGGGCTCGTCTCAATTGTAGTTTTCAGACAACTGATCACTGACACTGTGTACAGCAAATTGAATTTTAATTCTGATCTCTTCAAAATTATAGCTACAACCAGAGGACCCAGTAAAACGCTCTTATGCTATTTATCTTGCTTGGTTATCAATTCCTACTCTTATGTTTTCTTCAGAATGCTATAACATTTGAGAAACTAGTTGCAACAATTGATTCTCCAAAAACGTCTAGTTGAGACAAGCACTTAGGGAACCTACATTACCTATCGACTCAGAAATACTTACTTAATTTCAATCGCAATCGTTAATAAAGGATTTCAGAGACAGCTTAAATATTTGCTGTATCGGGATGTGGTTCAATCTGTGTCATATCTTTGTTACCTACCTATTTATTTAATTTTTTGGCCTATTTTATCATGAGAGTAAACTTATTTTGTTGAATATATTTGTTTATTCATGATTTACCCTCTTTTATCAGAACTAAGCGTTCAGAGTAGGTATATCCTGTAAAAAAGAAGAAGGAAAAAATAATCTGCCAGCTTTAATTTTTTGTAAAAACTCACCTAATATATTGGGTTATTCAAAAGTCACGCACCACCGGCCATAACTTTAGTTCTAATTAAGATATCGATTTGCGGTTTAAGAAGTTTTTCCTCATGTTGAGGGGGAAACTTCTTAAGGTACTTTCCAATTTTTGATTCCCTTGGGAGAGAGTGGGGTGGGGGGTAGGGGGTTAACTCAAAAAGTTCAAATGGCCACCCCCTCAAATGGCTCATGGCCAGTGGTGTGTGACTTTTGAATAACCCTGTATATCTTTTTTATAAGTGGGGGGAAACAAATCCTCATTCAAACCGAGGGTGGAATAAAAAAATCATCTGCATTTTAATCAGTGTTCTTACTTCGCCTTAAAATTATAGCAGCCCTTTGGTAAGGAGACCAAAAGTCCACCAAGTGGAAGCTGCAGAGATTTATCATCAAGTAAGAAAATTTGTCAGGATTTCAGGAGTTGGGTTGCAATAGACATCAAGGTTGTACAAAAATGTTCTTGGCACCACTTTGGCGCAGTATCGTACTTTTTTAGACGTAAAATTCTGACTTTTAGGTGCGTCTGACATATAACACCCGGCTAGGATAAAAAATGATTCCTTAGAGTGATTCCAAAGATCTGCACGCATTTCACATAAATTGTGAAAGTCCAACTGCCATATTTTAGAAAATATGATTTGATGTTATCTCACCCAGGCTTTGGCGCCTCTCAACGCAGGGATGGCACCGAAAAATTGGCGCACCCTTGATCACTGGTACGGCGCATAGTCCAGCACGGCCTTCCCCCATGCACAAGTTTTTGCTTTACTCACACAAACCTTCAAGAATTTCGAAAAGTTAACCATGACGGTGAAAATACAGAAAAATCCCCTTCCATTGTGTACTCTAATGTAGCTTAATTGGTATCCCTCATAATTGTAGGCGCTTTCATATTGTACGTGAACCGCACGACCCTGGTGGCGTTTCCAATAAACTAATGTCATCCCATTTCCGCCGCCATTTTTGTTTTGAGCTTGTGATTCATTCATTTGCATTTGTCGCATTCGAGAATTTGCTTCATAGCCCTAAGCACGAAGCTTACGTGATTTCCTTTGTTTACGTCCGTGAAACGTACGCTTTTATCTTCTTCGGTTTCGCCTCCAACTTTCGCGGGTGACGGTAGAATTGTTGTCCCATCAGCTGTGTGTGGTAGTAATAAAATCATTCCAAGCAAGACCAATCCACACAGGTCAGTCATTGCGCAGCTTTTTTGAAATCCACTCCCCCGCCCGGCCCTAACTCGCAGCACTCATTGTGACGTACTATTGAGTGCACCCATAAGAAATACATTGTATGCACTCAATACTACGTCACTGCGCAGTAGAGTACCAAAATTCGTCCTCGGGAATGACTGACCTGTGTGGATTGGTCTTGATTCCAAGAGAAGTTCTAGTTAGCTTCCCGTTGATTATTTCGCGTCGAAAGCACGTTTTGTGGTGCTTTTTGTGTTCATTTTGAACGTGTGTGATTAGCGTGCGATTTTCATCATGATCGGTTCCAAAGGATCTTGTGTGGCGATTTTAGCCGTATGTTTCTTCAGCACCGTTTACGGTAAGAACAGCTCATCCATCTTTAAATCACTGAACAAACTGTTGCTCCTAATTTCGGAATTGAATACATTCTTTCAGTTATGTGTCCAAACACTTTTTGATTGCATGCATACTCTTCCAGTAATGTGCTCTGCCTGACAAACTGGGTCCGCCCATACTCGGTTTGTTGAATGCAGAGGATAGAATTCCAGTGTTTCCTGAACGTTAAAATTATTCTTGACGGTTGATGATCAAATGACTTGGGATCCTACCGCCATGAAATGAAGATACTATCGCATAAGTTCCAATAAAGTGTTTGTCAGTATGGATAAAGGAAAGTTCCTAACAGCAGAAATCCTAGTTTGTGAAGATTTCGACTCACCTCATAAAATATTTCTTAGGAAACACTTTCTCCTTTTTCTTTTTCTCTCTTAAGGGTCTCCTTTTGCTCTCCATGTGTGATGCAGCTGGACAAAGACAAAATGTACGCAAAGATGGGGAAATATATGAAGGCGCGTATACTTGTCCTGCCGAGGTGCTTGACAAGCCCATATGATCAGTTTTGACCGTGTGCGGCGATGGGGGGAAACAATCACATGATTGCTTTGAGGTTTGTCCAATGGCTTGGCATGTCATGTGAATGCTTGCAATACTGCTGCACAAACAGGTTAATTCTGCCTCCTTAGACTCCAAGAACATTCCTTTAAAATTGGCCCTGCGGCAGCAATTCCAAAATGGAGAACTTACAATTAGGAACTTGAGGAAATTGTTTGCCAGTGATTTACCAATCTTAAGAACGATACCCTTGAAACCCTTGGAAAATTGCTCTACAAAGCAAATTACTTGGAGCTTGAAACCTTGGCCTGATATTCGTCGGAATGTTAAGGGGGAGTGCCCTAGAATAAGGGGGTCCTCAGGTCTTTCCCTTTAAAATGTTTGAAAAAGACCCCCTAAAATTTTTTAACAAAGATCCTCTGAAAATTGTTGAGAAAAACCCTCTGAAACCTGCTGTCGTTCAGGACTGATTTTACGCTGTTTTTAAAGTTGTAACTGCCTAATTTTTTATATTCATACAAGACCACTAGAAAAATCGCGTATTTGCTGTGATACCGAGGTGAAAAATGCATGATTTTTATGTTCTTACAAAACGGCTTACATAACTTAATCTCGCTGGAGACAAGAAAATCTATTGCCTCTTACCTATAATAAGAAATTTTAACTGTTTTTACATTTATTTATTTATCTTTTTATTTTTCACGAAAGAAGGAAATTTATCGTCTTCTACAGTACCTACCTATAATTTTTCGATTATCCTGCATGTCTCCTAATAAATACCTAATTACTTCCTTTTTCTTGCTCTCATTCTCATCCTTCTTTTCCCCTATTTTCTTTTCTTT